TCTCCCTCCCCTCAGGAAAAGAAACGGAGAAAACCGAGTCTGGTTCGCAAACCGAGATAAGGCACAGAAAAGGGTTCGGAAGTCCGGAGGCAGGGCTTACGGTCGCGACTCTGAAACTTCTGAACGAGCACATTAAGCGACATCACCAAGCGCTCAATTGGCGACGTCTGAGTCTTAAGGTCGGTCAAAAATGGGGTGTCTACAGATGCCCCTCTTTGACAGAACTCGGAAGGCACAAGTGACGGGAGTGAATGTCAAAGCCAAGAGACGACCCATTTTTGACAAGGCCGAAGACTTAGACAAACATACAGGATAAACAGAGATGTGCCCGCGGGCATGCTCACAGGCAGGGGGGCAAAATGCAAATGATATACAAGAAACCGAAGGTAACCCAATGATCGTGCAAATGCAGCAAGCTGTAATGAAGCAAGTATTCGCAAATAGATGCAACAGTTTTAAGCAAGAATGCAAAGCAACAACTACATTTCATGCAGTTAAGAAGGCGGAGATGCGGAGAATTGTTCAATTCTCGTCGCGTCTCACACGGAGAGGATACGATACCTGCGCGATTCGTCTGGTCGCACCAGCCTCAATTGAACCGTACATACAATATCGTGCCTGCAAGAGAGAGAAATTGCAACAAGCACAATATGCTAACAACATATATTCAATGTGATTCTAGAAGTTCGACACACGCAGTGTTGGTGAGTGAATGCATCGTAATGCAAGAATGGAATATGTGTGACAACGCATGCTCAAACACGGAGGTACGCCAATATCAAGAAATGTACATGACAATGTGAGTATGCCCATGAGAATGCAAGATGTGTGCATGAAAGTACAAAAACGAGCATGAGTAAGAGTGTCATTCGTCGTGAAACAACGAGTACGGAAACGTGTGTTTCGTACAATATCGTGCCTGCAAAAGAGAGAAATTGCAACAAGTACAATATGCTAACAACACATATTTGATGTGATTCTGGAAGTTCGACACACGCAGTGTTGGTGAGTGAATG